TGTATAACTGTACATAAAATGAAGCACTTTGTACTGTATATTGTTAATTTATTGCACAGCATTTTTTTCCCCTAGTTTTGCTTTAGTGTTCTTTTTTTCTTTCTCTCTCCATTAAAATGTAATGAAAGAATAATAAATCCTTTAATCGTGCATATAATTCAGGCTGAAGAAAGTGCTCATCCTGCTTTAACATACTCTTTGTGACATGAATACTTCATGGTTCGGAGCAAACAGACTCACTTTTTCACTCTGCTTCCACTGTGGTGGACCAAAGAGAAAAGAAAGCCGTCGAGCGAACTCTCCTTCATTCACGCCTTTCTCAATTACACCCCAACAAATACCTCCCGTTCTCTCCTTCATCATGGTAATCCTCGCTGAGCGCTTGGAGGTTTCTTCACTGTTTAATACTAGTTTAATTAACTTTGTCCAGACAGAGCAGGGTCGTGGGGGAGGAGGGCATGAAGCAAGTTGCCCCTAAAAATCATTCTGCCTCTAATTTTGTATGCTAATCTCTTTTTTCACGCTGCGCCTCCTCAGGAGTGGGGGAAAGAAATGTTGGGAAAACTTTGGGTCTGCCTGTGCAAAGGCTTCCTGTGGCTGTTTTCTTTCTGGGCCCACCTATTTGGATCCTTTCACTCCTGTAGGGCCTTCCTTTGCTCAATTTAACAATGAATGCAGAGCTAATCAGCTCTCTCGGAAATGCACCACTGTCGAAGAAGGTAATCCCTTCTTCTGTCCTCTCAATGGGCCGTCGCCTCCTAAAGAACTTTGGGAAAAGGCTTTGCACAGATTCACACTGTTCCCTCAAAAGAAGTTAGTTCAAGTATTGTGCCCAAACAAGTGAGTTTTATAAACACATGCTTGCCAGGACACTCACCCCACCTGCGAGTAAGAAGTGCCAGTCCAGGCAGACCTGCACATGGCAGCCAAAGCTGAGACCCTTCAGATGAGAAGGGGGCATGAAAGGGGAGATTAGAGGTCCCATTGAGAAGAGGGCGTTCATTTCTGCACCTTCCTCCTTTTACACAACCAAGTGTCAAGGAAACACCTTGTTGACATCTTATTTACCAAATAATGATCATAATTGGAACTCGTCTTTCCCCTGATGACCCCTGTGGGCCGGCTGGATTGCTCTGCCAGGGAAACAACAAAGGAGCCATGCAGAACGTAAAAAAACGGTTGCGTAAGGGAGGACAGCAAAGGAGCCAAAACGTCTTTCATTGCCATGAAAAGCAATGTGTAACTAAAGTTAGGTCAGACATTTTACATCAAACTTCAGTAAATACAAAAATGATTATTTAATTTATGAAGAGAAAACACCTGCCTGAGATAATCTTGCTCTCTATTAAGAACCTAATAACATCTTGTGCCTTAATGTTGGCAGCAGCATTTACCATCAAACATTTCCAATAACTGATAAAAAGTATATTACGTCACTGGGGAAGAGGTGATTAAGTTTTTGTTTTGGATAGCTTATTCTCATAATATATTAAATTATAATATGAGAATTGCAATTTTGTATTTTGCCAATAATTGAAAGAAAATGTGAGTGCATGCCATTTTTACCCAGTGAGTTGATATGTAAACTGCATCCTACTAATTTTTGTCATAAAAATCTGCTGGTTCGTTTGTGACGTAGTCTATAACACACAACACTTTTATAGATTCATGTAAAGAGAACAAACTGTGGTAGTTAGTGACAGATTGTTGTTGACAAAAGGTAAAGTTATCAGTAGACAAGATATCAGCTCATACTTAATACACTTTGAAATACCTAAGGACTGTATAAAGCATGATTTGATCTTACTTGAACATTCCAACAAAGCCTGCTTCATGGGAAGTGAAATATTAAAAAATTGTGTCTTAAGGCTTTTGCACATAACAGTACCTGAAATAATTTTGTTTTTAGCTTCTGGAAAATGAGTACTGGTATCACCTGTTGGTGCTGAAAACATTTGTTGACTTACCTGAGATGAAAAAGGGGCCATAATCCCACCATTACAGGTAATACACACTAGCCACGAGTCTTTCTTTGCTAGTTTCTTTAAAACTTTCTTCTCCGTTTTATGTGGTGAACAAGGTGGATGATCATGTAAAACGGCACATAACGCCAATCATGACTCAAACGCACAATCTACCCCCACGCAGAGAGTGACACGACCTCTGACCGTGGGGCCAAAACTTCCGTTTATCAGGCCGACTCTGCCATGTCCAATCTGTGATGACACGTTGGTGCAAGGTGATGGGAGGAGAGGTGACAAAACCAGAGGAACGCCGGGAATTCAGGCAGATGAGTGTGCTAACAGATTTGAGTAGCAATTTTAGCCTAACAAGCAAAGAAATAACTGATGTTAAGTTATTGTCCTACATAGTTCAGAATATCTTAGTGACACTATAAAATATCAAATGTTTGGTTTCATTTTTATGAGTATTCCTTTAAAATGTAAGATCACACTAAAAAAGCCAGAACTTTGTATCAGGAACTGCTATGTTTCAGCTAACGGGTGATATTTTGTGTGCCTGAAGCTGGGAAAAAGACTCATAATCCCTCTCAGAATCCTTGACTAATAGGATTTTTGACTTGGAGGTTTTAGACCCACAACACCTAAAGGGGGCGAGGGTCAGAGAGAATGTGAGAGAAAGCAGATGAGTACAGATGAAAAGGCACTTGAACGAGCAACAAGCTACAAAATTCTGAAAAAGTTTGGTGCCACTTGTATTTTTCCATTTATGTAAGAAATTTCATCATTAATAATGAAGAACGTTTGCTTTTCATCAGTTACACAATTCTTCTATGGAGCATTCAGTGGCTCTCGAAGAGATGCTGTTTCAGCAGATGGAAAAGGGATCGCAGGGGTAAATGGGTGTATTGGAATCTGCAGAAATGAGATCTAAGCTTCTTGAGGCTCACTGGGGAGTCCTACCTCCTAGTCACTGGTATCTCCAAAGAATGGGGCCGAGAGGTGAGGGTGAAGGGGATCAGCTCTGCTCAGGTCACCTCACTGATCTGCACAGGAAACACCAGGCATGGGAACCCAACAGGGAGCCTCACCCGGTGCCTGCAATTTAAATCTGCCCCTAAGTCCTTATTTAAGATAAAACACACATGACCGGACAGGAAATGCTGCTGAATCACCAAAATGAAATGGGGCATGAGATCAAAACTGCAAAATGGCAATGATCAAAGTGACTGACATGAAGCGTCACATCTACATCAAAGCCAGGGTGATATTTAAAGCAAGTCTTCATTAGTTAATCAGTGCACAGGAGCAAGGTACAGAGCGCACTCCTCTGTGATCACATGAACAGCGATTGAACAGTAATGCCAGGACTGTGATGACCACAAGTAAATATTAGTTCAGGATTATCAAAGGTGTTTGCTTAGTTTTTTGTTATCCAAACATTTTCATCCAGAAATAGACAAACCGGGTTGCAACCTACCCTTCGAAATGATTAAAACAAGACAACGTTCTGTCTCATGTGATGTAAGTCCATAATTGTATTACTTTATGTTCTACTGGATCAAATAAAATGAGTGTTGGCAGGCTCGTGCTCCTGCAAAATTGTGATGGCAAAATTCTGGTTTTATCCATAGAGTATCAAAATTGCATTTTATAAAGTCAGCTATGTTTGATTATCTTTTGAACCACTTTGAACCTAATTTTTCTGGATAACAAAGCATCTTCTCTACAGCACATAAGATGTCACTGCTATTTGCATGTTGTGGGATTTGACTGAGATCTCCTGCTTTTGTTACAAGTCTCTCTGTTTGTGTTCCCTGTCCCCTTTACACCACTGCTTGTGCTATGGACTTCAGTGAGATTTTAGGCAAAGCAAGTTAAATTTGTGCTTTACATGATGGAAATGTGAAATACAAACAAGCAAGAAGCATTACCTTGCAGAGATGGAAAGTGGTGAAAAGTTGGAATACTGACTGCAATTAATGTTCCAGTAAGTAATTGAAGGTAAGGCTACCCCAACACAACTTGGTAAATCAAATTTAGGATTTTCTTCATAGGAAATTCTAGATTTTCAAGGAACGATGAAAAGGTGAAATGGATCAAAATGCTTTTGTTGTGAAAGTACTTTGTAATGAGACAGTAATTTCCAGACTTTTCCAAAATGAAAACCTTCATTTTAGGTTGTCATATTTTTTTTTTCAAATTTCAAAATGTATAGTTTGTTAATAATTAATATATATATTTTTTTTTTTCTATTAATGAGATTTTCTTCTTGATTGTTCTGCTCACATGCATGCTCTGTACAGTTTTACTGTCAAAGTTTTTCACATTAATAACAGTAAACTTCAGTCTTTTTAAGCTAAATTTAAAAGCATAAATACACAAGTTACGTTTGAAACATGGCAAACCATGCAAACCCCTCCCACCCATAAAAAAAGAAAACAATCAAAAAACTAATTTAATACTTTTCCAGGCATAGTGACCTCACAATGAAATTATATATCATGGCTCAATATGTTTAAAGACTTCAGAGTTTTATGAAGTAGAGTTTCGCCATTTATATTAAAAACAAATATTCATTTATATATTATACACTGCTAAAAAAATAAAGGGAACGCTCAAATAACACATCCTAGATCTGAATGAATGAAATAAATATGAAAATAATTTCCACCTGTTGTCTATTCCATTTGCACAACAGCAGGTGAAATTGATTGTCAATCAGTGTTGCTTCCTAAGTGGACAGTTTGATTTCACAGAAGTTTGATTTACTTGGAGTTATATTGTGTTGTTTGAGTGTTCCCTTTATTTTTGTGAGCAGTATATATATCTTAAGTTGAAATCTTTTGTTAACCAGCACATTGCAATATTAAATTGTGATCCTGTGGTAACTAATAAGGAAAAACAAAGAAATTGCTCCCTCTTGTGGCAATAACATGCTTCTGCAATATGATCCATAGATGTACGTCACCCCGGACGCCAGGTGTCGCTGTACAATATACAGTGCCTGAATTAATCCAAACGGCTGCTCACCGCCTGTCACCACAGCGTGTAAACATTCACACACGGTACAAACCCGCGGTGAAACGCTAAGAGGTTCTGCAGAAGCCCTCTTATTTTGTTTTATTCATCAATAAACCTGAGCAGGGAGGGAGGCTGCCCGGGTAGTTCCGCTGTATGTTTACATGAATACAAAAAACAAAAAGGAGAAGCTGGTGGACGCTTTCATTGTGAGGTGGACCGAGGTACAGCAGCTAAAGGGGGGCTCGCCGAACCGCGATGGCAGCGGCGACTGTTGTGGAGGCCGATGCGGCGACAAGCGACGACGGAGCGGGTTTCTCCGACGTGCACAGCCGGGGATGGGATGAGTCCCAGCTCCGAAAATACTCGTTCCCAACCAAGCCCATTCCCCGGCTGTCTTCCACGGATCCCAGAGCGGAGACGCTCATGAACAACGAGGTAACGCGGCTGCAGGGTTAGGTCACTGGAACTATATTTTCATTTAAACAAACCTTTTCATTATAATTGAGAGAGTCATCGAATATTTAATGTGGAAAAATGCAAAAGCATAATAAAAGAAAGACGAGAGAGAAAATCCCACAACTCTCCAGACTTAATTCCTCATACAGCTTTCTAAAAACAAATAGAAATTTTTATGTATATTTTCTTCTATCTACACTGAGATGATCTTTTATGCGTTATTTAACTCTTTATATCTTGGGCTTATTATTTTAGAGGTCTGTACTTTCATTTTCTTGTTGAAAAAGGACGTTGTATTCCTGTTTGGAAAAGAAATGCCCCAGGTCCAGTCTCAACCTCTTTAGGTCCACAGCTGGACCTAAAGAGGTCTATTTAACAAAAGACCTGGTTTTTATTGCTAAATAATATATAAACGTAATGGTTTTAAATGTTTTACAAACAGGGAAAATCTGTCACGAGCAACAGTAGCCTCCAAAGCTTGGGACATAACTAAAACATTTCTTCATTCATACAAGTCTAACATGAGGTAAATATGAAAAAAGCATTTTTTAAATATATATGAAACACATAGTTGTTGTTGCTCCTGTGGCATGTCCTCGTGTAACTGGTTTACAAGAAAAATAAATCAGTCGTTGGGGTCATTAGTCTTGTATGCTTTTATACTTATGGGTCAAAAGCTGACACCACCTGTATTTGATGTCACAAATATGGGTGGTGTTGATTTGAGTTAGAAGATTCAGTGGAGAACATACGGACCATAACACCCAAATTATGTGGAGAGGAGTTTCTGTAACTGGTTTGCATAGTGGTGTGTAATTTGTATAAAAGCCTTTTTTATTTCTCTGTTTTTGGTTGCCAGTTTTCACACTGGACAAGTCAGAAATTGTTTACAGTGAATAAGTCTAATTTTAAAGCAAGATTAAGTAGTACTTTTTGTCTTTATTTCATTCAGTCAAAACTGAAGCCCGTTGAGTATCTAGGTCAGATAAATCCAGAGTATTGATCAGCAGCTTGAGTGCACCTGCTGAATCCAGTGTGGAGACAAATGGGTGTTTAGTCCTGAAGAGTTTACCTGGAACAGCTAAAAACAGATCTGAGAAGATTTTTTTTTTACTACTTAGATCAAATAAACCAAAAGAGTCAAGGGTAGCAAATGCAAATGCTTGCTCTTACTGATGAAAGTGTTAAATATTAAGTATTTCTATGTGGTGTAGTAAAATTTTTTCATAGGAACATTTTAGAATAAATACAAGCTGAACATTTCAAATATTTTTTTTATTTCATGCCATTTTATACTATATTTTCGTCCTGTTTTTTTTTTTTAAATAATCCTGCTGAGTTGAGCTTTTTTGTACATGAGGGATGAGGGTGACGCTGTTCTTTCAGCCAGCTGACTAGCAGTGCACATTAACAGATGGAGGCTCTGTTGATGTGCGCTGCTCTGAAACTCTTGATTTCTCTAACTCACTAGAAGTTAGAGATCTGTAAAAACGACATTTGAACACAACAGACATCCTTCATGTTACCGTTTTCACTGCCATTTGTTTTAACAGAAATACTTCACCTGGCAGGACGGACAGCCTTTGTTTACATTTCCCTTTGGGTCTGTCATTATTCATGAATGTGGTGTTTGAGTTTCAAATGAAATTTCGCCCATTTCACCTGTCTCCTAAAGGTTCCAGTGACTTATCTCTCATTTACTTAAGTTGGTGGTTTTCTGGTCTTCCTGGGGTTTTTATGATTCAAAGCTTGGAGAATTCTGGCACTGCTTTGATTCAACATGATATAGCATTAAGACTTAATAGTGCATTCTCTGCAAAGGACATTGTTCTCTTAGGATTTTAAAGAGAGTATGTTACTTGATTAAAAATGAAGTGGCCCAAGTTTGTCACTCAAATATTCACAAACACCCGGCTTCCATGAGCTGTTTGCATTGTCCCAAGGTTTATGTGTTGCTTAAGACTTTATGTTTTGTGTAATCCAAATGCAGATTACACAAAACAGGTTGCAAGAGATGCATGTTGCAACCTGGAGAATCACAGTCGATCCTCAAAAAGGGAGCAGGTTTCCTTTTCCTACCTTGCTTTATATGGCTCTGTTACACAAACCTACCACAATGTTCATCTCCTGAGAGCTGTTTTACAAGAATAGCTTTAATCACTGTGTAAAAGTGAACTCCTTTCTAAATGACCTTCAAAAACTGGCTCAAGTGATGCAAATGCAAACTTGAGCCAGTGCTGATTTAGCTGAATGTGAGCTTTTCCTGTGCTGACAAATGTGTCAAACATTCACCTCTAAATCCTTCCTGTTGGATCGTTTTCATTTGTTCAGACCCAAAACTCGATGAGCGTTTAAAAGGCAACACGACTTTAAATATTAGCAGGAGATTAAATATCAGATGTTAGGCTTGATGAATGGATTTTAAAGCTAGAAGTCAGGTAGTTTTTCCTCGTGGGATTCATTCTCTCTCAGCTGTTTACTTTCGTTAATAATTGAAAGCAGATCCAAGTTGGTATGAGGAAAGAAGGCGTCTTTGAACACCTGGCTGTTCTACATACAGGTTGTGTAAACTCATCACATTAAAGCTACCAGGCTAATCCCTGCGTCATTTCACCACGGAGCAGTACAGTCTGCTTCATCTACTGAGAAGTCGCGAAACATAATCTTTCACCGCCGCAGCTAATAATAAGCTGAAAAGCCAAACTCAAAGCAGACCGGGTGCGTCTGAACAGTCCTCCCTCCAACCCCATCATCTCCTCGCAGCCGCAGAGTTCAGCGTCCTCCGATGAAGTGAAACCGAGAGCCAGCGCAGGCAGCCGAGCCGCGGGAGCGCGCGCAGCCGGCTACGTTCGGTTTGTCACGTAGGCCTCCGAGCTCCGGGCGCGTGCGTGCGACCAAGCTCGCGTCTCACGTGCACGTAAAATCGCGAGATATATTTAAAATCGATTTGAAATCGATTTACACTTCCTTTGCATGATTTAAAGCGTGTACGTGACTGACTGTGTGAGACGGTTGTTGCGCAGCCTCGACGATGGCGAGCCTCATTTTCTGCTTGGGATGCAAAACATCAATTGCTTCAGTTCATATCTGATTATTGGGAAATTGACTGAAAAATAAGCAGCAACACATGAAATGCTTTTGAATGTCCCGTTTTTACAATTCATTGAGTAATTGACATTTGTAAAACAATGTTCACTGTATTTTCCATGTAATGTGCCCCTTATGTAGGGTTTTCTTGCTGCTGCTTTTAATTAAACATGTGTGCTAGGCAGGTAGATTGGAGTTTACAGGTACTACAGTAGAGCATGCATTTCATTTTAAAAGCTAAAGTTTTGGGACAGTTCTTGCCCCTCAGCTTTTTTGTGAAACCTGGAAAAAGTGCTTGAGCCCAAATATGAGAAGGAAATAAAGCTCAATTGCCCCCAAAAGATAAACTTTTAACTGATCTGAACCTTTAACCTGAACCTTATTTGGGCTTAGAATAAATGTGACTTGTAAAATAAATGTTACTTGAAAGTTCAAGTTTATTACTATAACATTTTATTTATCTTTGCATGAATACCAGGCACAAAGAACATTCAGCTTTTAAAGCACTCTCAATATGATTAGAGCAAAAATGACAGAACGTACTGGTAGCCGATTGGAAGAGTTTTGATCTTACAAGCAAGTATTTTTTCCCCCCATACTTTGTCTTATTCCATGCATTTTTGTCATAATTAGAGTAATAATGAAAATAAAGTGCACTAATTAACACCCGCCACCCCCAACAAAATACAATCGCGTTTTCAAACACGTCACTATTACGTGATACAGCGTGTTGTCCTTCAATAGATTTACTGTAAGCAGGTTTATTTACTGTTAACAGAATGTGCTTCAGATTCTTTCTCATATTCAGATGATTAAAAAGTATAACATGACATTAATGTTAGAAGAGTTGCTATTTCTGACATGGCTGCACTGACAGCAGAAACATTATTTCAATGTTTCTGCTCACGTCAGTGTATTTGCTCCAGATGTCACTATAATCTATTACCAGTGTATAAATGCATGTCAATAAAAGTTATCAAGTTTTATTGGACATCTTCTAGACTTAACCAACGTTTAAATGTTTGAAAATAACTTCTGTTATTAAGTAAAGTTTGGCTTTACCCCCCTCTGAGCTCATCTGATATTTCACTGAACTGTTTTCTGTTATTTATGTTTTGTTATTGTTTATATTTTTGATTTGGTTATTTTTTAACGGGAACACAGCCTGTCGTCCAAAATCCATACCTTTTAAGATGGTTTTGTAAGGATGAGAAATTAACTAAATATGCCTTAAGTCAAAAGTAACTAATTATGAAATGTGACAAAGAAAACAACTTTAAAAGATCATAAATTAGATCTTCTTAGCATTGAGGTGTATAGCAACCACCATTCTTTGTTGTAATATTTCAACAAAGTATTCCTGATCTTCTTCCAGGAACCGGTGGTTTTAACGGACACCAACCTCGTATATCCAGCGCTGAAGTGGGACATCCCATACCTCCTGGAAAACATTGGAAATGGAGACTTCTCTGTTTACAGTTCGGAGAACCACAAATTTCTCTACTATGATGAGAAGAAAATGTGTAACTTTATGGACTTTGTTCCCAAGTCTCGTCGAGTGGACATGAAATTCTCTGAGTTTGTGGATACCATGCAAAAACGAGAAGAAGAGGGAGGAGAGGATAGGTAAGTTGTTAGACGTGATGTGAGAAATGCACATTTCTGCGGTTTTAACCGCCAAAAGTATTGAGGAATAGATATGCCTGTGACAGAACCAGTGACTAAGCACTTATGTGATGAAGGCTTATTTCTGTAACTTGACTGATCTGGCAGCTCATACTCAGATCAGATACCAAAGAGACACCCGCTTTTAACTCGCTGACCCTTAAAGTAGTTATTTAGTATAATTTCCACTTGTATTAATGCAATTCCCCCCACCTTCAAGTATTGGCAAACAGTGATTTATTTATTTTTTACACTCTTGTTTACACCATTTTTAATGCCAGCAGGACCAGGGCTTGTTTTTCAGCCCTCTGCATGTGAAACTGCATGACTCATACTTAAAGCATGTCTCTTTCCTCATGTGTTTCAAGAGTCTATTTGCAGCAAACCCTGAATGACACAGTAGGAAAGAAGATTGTTGTTGATTTTCTTGGTTTCAACTGGAACTGGATCAATAGACAGCAAGCCGCGCTGAACTGGGGACCGCTGACGTCCAACTTGCTGCTGGTTGGCATGGAGGGTGAGCCTCTCATTTCCTCCCTATAATCCATAATAGCCTGAATGGCAGAATAGCGATATTGCAGAATACTGGTATAAGTGCCCTGAGTATTCAGGGTGTATTCAGGGTATGTACTCATCGCTCTGAATACACCATGTCTGTCTGTGAAACATGTCTGTGTATTCAGCACCAGGACAGGGAAGTTGCCTAAATCTGAGGGGAAAATGGATGAAGTTAAATGTAGGGCAGTCCTGAACAAAACAAGTTAGACGTTCACCTTCCTGCATGACAGTGACCCAAAACATAAAGCCAGATCTAGATCAATTATTTGTCTGAGAAGAACTCAGTTCTGATGTCAATACAATCCATGGCAAGGCTTGGGAAAACTAATTTTTGCTAATTCTCTCCATCCAGTTTGACTGAGATGTGCAGAGCTGGTAGAAACAGTCACTCAAATGTGTAGGTGAAGTGAAAGGTAGTTTTTATTTGTATATATATATATATATATATATATATATATATATATATAAAGTAAATAACATAATCCATTTTCCTTTAGCTTCTGCTCCATCACACAAGATGCCAAAGATATATCTATTTTACTGTCTTCAAGCCTCATAGGTTTTCTTTTTTTCACATTACTGTATGTGTTTATCATTTTTTTTCAGGCAATGTGACACCAGCACATTATGACGAACAGCAGAACTTCTTTGCACAGATAAAAGGCCATAAAAGATGCATCCTCTTCCCCCCAGACCAGTTTGAGTGTCTCTATCCTTACCCTGTCCATCATCCGTGTGACAGACAGAGCCAAGTAAGTTAAGCTGCTTACGTAATTTAAGGTTTGGCTAATTTTGCTGATAGGCTTGTTCATATTTTTTCACCAACGTTTCTTCTATTTTAGGTTGATTTTGATAACCCTGACTATGAGAAGTTTCCAAATTTTAAAAACCTTGTTGGCTATGAAGCTGTTGTGGGACCTGGAGATGTTCTCTACATCCCTATGTATTGGTAAGATGTGCTTCCCCCTAGATTTAAAAGAAAAATAATATTATCAGAATAGCAGGTTTTCTCCCTTTCACCATTTTTGAAAACCTTTTTGATCTTTGTACTTTCAACCGTCAAAGAGTTCACACGTCAGTTCGTCTATTACTTTATCAACGGAATATGCAGCACCAGATGAAAATAGCCTTCGCTTTGATTGCCTCCTGTAATTAGAGTCTGCTGCTTCCAGTGATGTTACCTGAAACTGTATCACTCAAGGTGGAAGCCATATATCAAACCCAGCTGAGCTCACTAAGCACACACTAACCTCAGAAAGGCAGTGATTCTGTACCAGTTGAGTGCACCGTTTCATTTAGTTTTTCTCAGGAAAACCAGATGTATTGCATTCCTACATGAAGGAGTTTTTAGGTGCACAGAAAACATTTCTGAGAATGTTGGGGTGGAGCACCCTTAGTGTAGTTGACCTCCAAATATGTGGAAATATTACCACTACCTTCCAGGTGCTGTTTTAGCAGGATTGTGCAAACACCAGGCTGTATGAACACTAAGATATTGTGCAAAGTGTTAAAGCTCACTTGTCCTCTTGCAGTCCTGATTTGCTAAAAAGAGAAAACTTTTATTTTGGAAAAGTTGAAAGATTTTTCTTTAAAAATGTTTGAGTATACTCAGTTGTCAGATTATTCAAATTAAATATTGTATAAAATCTTGGTAAGCAAATGGTTACAATTTCTAAGTGTTTTTATGTTTTGCTGTTGATTAAAAGAAATTCTACATTTAAACACACTTGGATTGGTTTTGCAACCTGTGATGTAAATTTCACTTTAAAATAGAAAAAAAAGTGATGTGTTTCCAGTTTTTAGTCAATCATATTTTTCTTGGTTTTGAAGGTGGCATCACATCGAGTCATTGTTGAACGGCGGAGTCACTGTCACAGTTAACTTCTGGTACAAAGTACGTATATTTGAATCATCACATTGCTGTCGCACAATGCATAACTTTCCCACTTCACTTCTTTTGTACCTGCATTTCTTTTCTTTAGGGAGCTCCAACACCAAAGAAGATAGAGTACCCTCTGCGAGCTCATCAAAAAGTTGCTATCATGAGGAATATTGAGAAAATGCTTGGAGAAGCACTTGGAGATCCCCATGAGGTAAATGCTTAGTTTTAAGCCAGCCATCAAACGAAGCTAGAGCTATCATCTGAGCTCCGTCTGCACATGAATGTCACATTGTCCGTTTCTAGAATATTTAAATAGGACCTATATTTAGGTCACTAGTTACATTGGAATCCCTCAGGCATCCTGACCCTCCCAACAACCCAGTTCCAGTGAATATTCATGGCTAACTTGATTTTTGTACTGTGGAAATGCCATTTAGAACAGAGTTACATCAGATGTAACTCTATGATCGTCCTGCTGTGAAACCCTCTGTTTTCTCCCCTGCAGGTCGGGCCGTTACTAAAATCAATGATCAAAGGGCGATATGACCAGGGCCTCAGTTAGAGCTCCAACGTTGTAACTGCTGAATGGACTGCTCCACAAACTGTTTGCATGTGAAGTGTGTGTCTGTGTGTTTTTTTTTTTTTTTTTTAGTGTGCATTCTGTCATTGGAGCTAAGTGACAGTGCGTGGCCGTAATCAGCCATAATGAAATAATTCAGTTTCGGTCTCAGAACACCGTGATCATAACAACTGCGCCGAGTAAAGGAAGAAAAATGAATCAAACCATTGGGATTTCATCCAACTTGAAGATGGTTGTTTTGCTGTTGGAGAGAAGAAATGAGGACACTTCCTTGAATCAGTGTTTCCTTAAGTCTTACAATTTCTGCTTTTGGCCTTAAGTTTTAATATTTGTATCTGCGAGGAAACAGACTTTAGAGAACATATAAAGAGATACCTTCTCTATAAGGAATAAACAGTTGCAGCTCAATATTAAGTTCTTATAGCAAAACAACTTTAGAAATGAGCGTTCTAAGATAATTTATCTATATTAGGTAATTTCGTACTAATGTGCAGTCATTTATTAGCAAGACTGGCCATGATTTCAAAGTATCAAAATCAGTTGCTATATGATGATGATAAATGGCTGAGAAAGAGAGGATGCCTCGGAAAGTAATACTTTTTATAAATGCTTTTGGTTGTCTTTAATTTGTATCTTAAGTGCTTCATTGGATTTGCAGCCAAGAAATCCAGTAAGAGGATTGCTGAAAATAAATGTTGCAACTTTAGTTGCTAGTACTAGTTTCTCTTAAATGGTAATTACACCAAGTTAAAAGGTACAAATAATAATTATATTCTACCAGTTGACTGAACTTGTGAGACCAAGTGCTGGCATGAAGCTTTGTAAAAGCAAATGTTGCGAAGCTTAAAGCGCCATCTACTGGTCAGATTTGAAATAGCTTGTTAAGCTGTCCCATTTTTTTAGAATAGGAAACTAGAAATGTAATCAGTAAGCAATATTTAGGCTCCATTATTGTAATCTTGAAGTTATCAATGATCTGACATACACTTGTTTTGACCTTTTTTTCACAGCCTGTGTAAAGGTAAAGGCTAGTCAGCCTTTAACTTACTCTAAATGTTTCTTTTATGGTCTCTAGGACAGGTCGATACAAGAGTTTCTTTGCTTCTAATGTTTCTGAGAAGTTTTTTGATGCTTCAGATCCGAGTGAAACAAGAAGCATAATATTGTGTGGCGTGCCAAACAAATTGAGCTCCATGTTCAGAAAGTTGGTTGACACAGATTTTCTTGTTAACTGATGGTGTGCATATGTATATTTTACTAATTGCACTCCATTAAATGGTTTTAATTCATGTGTAAAAAATGATCTGGGTGGGTTTTTTTATGTGAATTGTTTACTGAATGCATTTGCCTGATACATGGCAAAAAAAAAGAAGGTGATGTTAAACTTTTCTATTATGGTGAATGTGTTTGTTTTCACTTTGGCATTAAAAGGTGTAAATTTGAAATTGTTACCGTTTTATTTTATGTCAAGTCTATTCAATGATTCAGTTTTCAATATAAAATACTTTTCTTTAAGATTGAGGTGTTTGGGGTTTTTTTTTTGTCAGACAAGAAAAGGACTCAAGATCAGGAATTGATTTAGACCTGCCAAATAAGAAATGAAGTATCTTATATTCAGTTTGTAAAAATAAGTTTTGGTTGGTTGTTTGTTTGACATTTTAGATCCAGCTCAAGAACTGATCCGTTCAAAAGGTAAAGTTGGCTCTAAGACAAACTGTTGGTAAAATGCTTCTTTGAACTTTTGAATAACCACCTTTAATCAGTGAGTCGAAAGTCAAAATACTGATTAGAAGAACTTCACAATTGTGGAACAAATTGTGAGAAACCTTTTTCTTTAATACAAAACCGCATTTATTAAGCATTAATAGGTTTTTGTCATTTAGAAAATGGGAAGAGGACCAAAAAAAAAAAGATTCTGGAAAACAATTTTTTTCAAACTCAATTTTTGTTTTGAAAATGAAAACTGAAAATGAAAACGCAAAATCCACACTTTCCAAGACTACATATGAACCGAACCCTGTCAGATGGCAATATGTAGACTGAAATGGTCCATTCTGATTGACCTAAATAACTTGCATTGAGTTCTGTGAGAACCTAAACAGGAAGCATATGGTACTCTACAAAATGTATTTACTATAAATTACCAGGAGATTTTTGAAGCCATGGTAGAAAAGGAGAAAAAGAAAATTAGTGAACAGTTTCAGATAAGTCCGCTCCATGCTTTACATAATACCATTGCATGATAAATATAACATCACATCACCTGAAAACCCAGTTCTGTTAAACTACATTCAGGGAAACAATATATCACAGGTTTCAAATAGCTGCATATTACTTACAACAAATAGGAGCGGAATATAAATACTAAATCCTGGAAAAGAAAATTGGGTCAGCTTATTTGTCCTAAATGTACAACTAAAGAATAAAAGAGATCACTCATTTTTTACAACAGTCTCGGGTGAAGCAAAATTCACATACAAACACAAATGAGATGAGAACCACAGCAGTATTATGTTTACCTGAAAGCACACAACCTTAAATCCTCATTAATGCAATCCAGTTTCCAAAACGTTGCAAAGAAAGAGAACTAAAATGATGATTTGCAAACCCTGTAGAATCCCCAATGTGCAGATCTGTTTTACATTCTCTTGAACATAAAACTGCTTAGAGGCCAACAACTAGATGTTTGGAGTAGATTATTTTTGTTTTACTTTAAACTACCAACACCCTTCCCTCAATTTAGAATTACCTAAAATGTCTTAACATTTTTATGTGCATCGTTTTTGGATCTACAGTTTAAATTTTTGTTCAAATCTACAAGCATAAATAATTCTCCCTCTTTGTAGCAATTTCTAAGTAAATAATAAAAGCAGCAGTTAAAAATTGCCCAAAACAAACATGGATCACTTTCACATAGCAATTTCCTTTATACAACACATGCAGAATTATCAGTTATGATTATTCACTATAGTAGATATAGTTAATAATCCTATATCCACCAGGACCTTGCAGTAAGAAGGTCCTGGGTTCAATTCCCAGCCCAGGTTCTTTCTGCAAGGAGTTTGCATGTTCTCCCTGTGCATGTGTGGGTTCTCTCCAGGTTCCTCCCACAGTCCAGATTAACTGGTCTCTAAATTTTCCTTAAGTGTGCATGTGTGTGTGTGTGTGCATGGTTGTTTGTCCTGTCTCTCTGTGTTGCCCTGCAATGGATTTACAACCTGTCCAGGGTCAGTAAATGTCTTGCTGGAGACAGGAACCAGAAACCCTCCTGACCCACTGGGGACAAGGGTGTAAAGAAAATGGATGGATCATTAACTGTGTGCTTGAGGCTAAGAAAATCTGATAACACTTAAGCTTGTAGTGTGCACACAAAGACCAAAGGAGACTACATTTTTGCCAGAGAGAAAGTCAGGAATGGAGAAAACCTTCCACAGACCAATGTAGCAGCTCACTGAAGTTATTTTAGTCAACAGGGCTAAGACTAGCAATTAGGGGGAATTTCCAAGTTCCAGTATTTGAACACTCTGTCGGAAAGGACTAAAAATTCAATGGGTGTTTTGTTTTTCACAATTACATATTATCTAAAAAATAAGAAGAAAAAAAAGAAACAATAAAGATTATTTAAATTAAATATGGATATCAAATATGTAATTTCTGTTTTAAAGTATATAAAATGCTTAGGGCACGTTTGCAAATCATTATCCTGCACATCTTATGCAGTCAGCCAACATTTTTTGGAAACTTAGATGCAATGGATTTAAGATTCTGCATATCGAACCACTTATATATCAAAAATAAATATTCTGGACTTTAAAACGAGGCCCATCAGGTTCATATTTCACTATTTGGGGGATACCCACAATCCTCTATTCTGGTATTCTACACAAAAAGGTGTTATAGCACATCCATCTCTAGAAAAATGTATTTACTGTGCAGCAAACTTAGGTATTAATTTTGCTTTCTAGTAAACCCTAAATTCCTACAAGAAAGACATTTTTTTAAATATTTGTTCTACAGTGTGGAACAGTGCAAGAAATAAATTAATCTGTGTGAATCTGTCAGATGTAATAAAGTTTTGGGGCAGCGCAAACTGCGTTTAACCTCAAGGCTTCAACAAAATCTTGATGAAAACTTAAGGAAAAAATACACTAAGACCTGTAATGTTCAGAACAAACTTCAACAGCACCACTTATTTACAAAGATGATGAAAGAAATGTTCACAAGTTAATGTTATAATCATGGATCCACATTTTCCCAAAAAAAGAAGAAAGAAAAAGAGCTGTCAGTGCGACATCAGACCTGCTGAGGTGGCCAAAACAAATCAGATAGGCTGTTTGTTACACAAACAAGAACACAACAGACCGACTTAAAAAAAGAGACAAAAAAGATGAAAAACAACATCGGTGCAACTTAAAAAACAACGGCTTAATCCAAGGCATGATGGTTAGTAACATTTTAAAAATAAGCCACTGCCACACTGAAGAATGCTTCCTAATACTTGGGGGTTTGAGGGAATAAATCAAGTTTTGGTTGAAGGACTTGGATAAAGAAGAAGTAGTGTAAACAATGCTGTCACTATCTGCTCTTACAGTGCTGTGCTCGTCATCAATGGAACCTGTACTTTCGGGCCGGTTTCAGGTTGACGTAGGTCTTCTTCATGTCGTCTGTCTCGTTTTTCTTCACAAGTTGATATCGCTCTCCTTTTGTTGTCACCACCTGGTTACCGTGGTAGCGAACAAGCTTCTTTGGAGCCTGATGAAAGGGGAAAAAAACTGTTTTAGTGCACAATACAAAGAATCGTATAAAAAAGGGAATATTCCCAGAATCATACGTCTTTGGGAGCAACGGGTCGATGGGTTTTGTTATCTTCCTCACTGTCCACTAGCATGTACCTGCAGAATTCAGATGGAACACGTTGATAAGCTTGTGAGGATATTTCTGATCAACAACCATAATGCTAATAGTTTCACTTACTTCTCTAGGATGCTCTCTTTAAGTTTCTGGTCAGCAAGTGAGGAAATGCTCTTCCCTTGGTTTACCTGAAGCGTCAGAATAAGATGAGTTTAGTTGTTTATAGTTCTGTGTAGACATACTCCTGTCTCTTACCAGTTTTTATTTACGCTACAAATAGAAACGTGAATGGTTTTCAAGTTACGGACCGTATTGCATCATTAAGAGTTGAAAATTTACATCCTGATTTCCTTTGAAATTACTGGGAATGGGAATGATTTTCCAGCCAAACTTCCAGGCTGGCCTTGAGCCACTTAGCAAAGAAGAATGTGAAAATCTTCTGCCTCTATATGTGCAAAGCTGGTAGAGAACTTTCCTAAAAAAATATGCAGCTGTAATTTTGGTGAACGAAAGATAACTCAGTAGGCTGAAGGTTTCTAAGCGTCTTTTTCTTTCATTTCAACATTAAGCACAGCTTTTTGTTTGTCTGTCAAAATGGCAATCAAATAACATGACATAATCAATAGATTTATGGGCCATGAATTCTTTTGCAAGCACTGCAGCTTAAAGACGTTAGAAATTGATGAAGCAAAACGTTTCTCTGTGACAGAGAGGCCTACATTAATAGGAGTGGGGCTGAGCTGGACGTCCCCCTCTATGATAAGGCGCACTGCTTCCTCCATGTCTCCTTTGGCGATGGAAAGAGCGCTGCGAGCTTCGGACAAACTGCACTTTGGGAACATCTCCAGGAGGTGCTGCTCTTGGGACTCCCACTCAGATGCTGACAGCTAAAACAAAAAGGCCACATTTATGGTTTGAATTTGCATAGTTAAAATTAAAGAGCTATTTTAAAGCTTGAAGAAGTCAGTGCTAATGTGTGTTGGCTTGTTAACCTTGGCTGTAGCGCCCTCTGTCTGTGGCTTAAGGCACGGAGGTTCTTGTCCTGGTTCTGGCTGACTGGTCAGGGCATTGAGTTTCAAAGAAACCTCTTCTGTCCCTGTCTTAGGCACACTGTTTTCTTTAAAATTTAACATAAGATAAAGTTTAATGCTTTGCTTGTGAAACAGGCTTGCCACAAAGTTATCACTTAGAAAAATAGAAACGAACACTTACCCGATGTCCGAGCAGTGGCCAGTTTTGAAGCCAGACTGAACATCATTTCACAGACTTTGACACTGGAGCGTAAACAAAATCATCTTTAATCAACATCAGTTGTCAGCAGCACAGCTGACCGGTCTTGCTTTTGCATGATCAGAACAGAGGCCGTGTTACCTGTCTATTTCGGCAAACCCGGGTATGTAGGCTTCCAGCATTTCTCCAAAGACCTCCACATCAAAATTCTCCTCAACGCTTTGCTGGGACCCCAGGTCCTCCAGGACCCCAGTGATGTATGACAGAAGAACATCATCCAGTGTGCTGCAGGATTAAAAAACTAAATCTTAGTTTACAAAAAAATATATATATAAATAACCCCCCCCCCCCCCCCACAAATGTAAACTTTCAAATCTAATGGAAAAAATGTTAAACTTCTTGAGTCCATTTGAGAAGCTGTGTGAAAATCTCTAATTTATAGTGTATAAACTATTTTTTTTATTGTGAATTTTTAAGATGAGCTCACAGAGTGAATGAAATTTATTTAGAAGGTTATAGCTTTTGCTGGTAGTACTGCCACATTTACTCACTATAGCTCTGGCTAAATACCATCATTGTTTTTGCAACGTCTCCCATGTCATGGAAGACATTGTTGGTAAACTGGAGAGCTCATTCAGCATCCTCGGTGCTTGTTGTTTTCCCAGTCCTGATAAAGTCTATGGGGTAACCAGAAGCTCAGGGATAATAGGTATAAACTAACACTGCAAATGAACCAAAAATGTGTTGTTGTTGTTGTTAAGCATAGTAAGTCTGGAGAGCTTTCTCACCTGAGATCTGCATCGGGAATGTACGTCTGGATAAATTCGTGCAGGGCACTGTGGATGATTTTGTGGAGGTCCATGCTGTTCTCCCGGTGCTATAAAGCGACACACAGAATATGATCAGAGTATTCATGCGGTACAGCAGCCAGCGACAAAAATAACCAAGCTTCGCGTTGGTCATTTAATTTAAAGTTGTCACTAATCTATCAAGTACGGTTGCAGACTAAGACTTTAATGGAGGTGTTACAAACCCCGTCTTCCCGAAAGCTTTGTGCTCACAGTTTGGAATGTTGACGCTAATCCTCCAGCTATCTTATGTAAATGTCGAGCAGCATTTGAATAACATGATGACCTCTTTTGTGTTAGCTTTGTTGTCCTGTTAGCACATTAGAGAGCTAATGGTCATTACAGCGGCTACGTTATCAAAATATAAACCGCTTACAAAGGTCTCTGTAAATAATATAAGCATGTTAATGGTATTGCACTCGTCAATGTCAAGCAAACAACGTACTGCACGTAAAAAAGCTAAAGATTATATAATAGATATAACGGAGAACTAGCACTGTTAGCTAACAAAAACAAGCAGCAAGCGACCCAAGGAATTGCAGTTGCCTTGGTAACTGTAACCTGAGTTATTTAAAACTGGACGATTTTGACGGTGTAAAACTTACCGTGTCAGAGATTATGGATACATGAAGTTTGCAGTTTCCCCCCAGATGTGTGAAAGGGGAAGACGGACAGTGCAGAGGTTATGCAGGCTCGATATACCTCGTTAGCCCGCACGATTCAAAACGTCGAATACGTCACTTCCTCTAAGTGTAAACAGCGAGGCCCATCAGGGATAGGCTAAAGGTGCGAAAGAGACACACGCACACACACACACACACACACACACACACACACACACACACACACACACACACACACAAACACACACACACACCACACACACATCCCCCCCCTCTCTCTCTCACACACACACACACCTACTAAGGCATGCCACTCGGTTTTACTGACATCGTGGGGATTCCTACACACGTCTACATCCCAGAATAACACAAGAACCAAACTCTTGAAGCACTTTCATCCCCAAAGCTACCTGAATGACCCAAACCAAGAACTTCTGGGTTCTGGAACTCAATAAAAGGATGTATAATTTCATACATAGATCTCTCTTCTGCTTTTGTTTCCTATGTTTGGTAAAATAGTCACATCAGTAAATTGTCTGCGAAAAGAAAAAAAAAACATGAATAATACATGAATAATCATAATAAATGAATAAGAATTAAAAATAATAGTGGATAAATAGCTTAAGACCAAATGCAAAAATGAAATCATATACAAATCTATTAATCTCATGTTAAGTAAATAAAAAAATATTACTTTTTATTTAAGTATTTTATGTCAGCTTGAGTTATGCAGAACAGATCTGATCATTGCTATGGAAACGATCAGAAGCAAGAGGTTGCGGCTGAAGTCCAGTGAGGTCACTGATGAGGTCATAGATGACATTTACATCACAATAGATCAAAGAGGTTCTGATGCTTAAATGATTGAATCTGAAAGCATCAGCCAGATGAAGATACTGGAGCATCAGAGTAGAGCGTCATAATTACACAGCAGAACCATGTTTGGCCTAGCTAAAGCATTCGTCCCTTTTCTCATCCCCCTCGGTTGGGGCATTGGCTATGCTGTTACCACCAGCATGCAGAAGCTCACGGACCAGTACTTTTCCGGGAAGGATTCGAAAGAAAACGCCAATCAACGTGGAGAGGAGGATTTGCTCTGGAAGGGTCCAACACCCACTTCCACAGAACAGACCGACCCGGAGGGGGAGGTTTGTCGTGAAGCGGGTGTGAGTGGGACCTCGGCCTCTATCCCTTCAAGGACCGTCCATACAGAGGACAACACCACTGCCTCTGAGCAAACCTGCCCGGCTGGGGAGGTTTGCTCAGAGCAGACAACTGGTGTGGTGGACTCTGTGCCAGACAGCCCTGAGGGGATTCCGACTGTCGACGAACAAACTGACCCGGCGGGGGAAGTTTGTTCAGAGACGGCGGAACATGAGGGCGAGGGCGCGGTTGTAGAGAAGTCTCCCCCGGCTGGGGAAGACTTGTCTGCGACTGACCTCGCGGCCAAAGCTGTGGCTGAAGCCACAGAGAAGTCTTTGGTTTCGCTGGTCCCATCGCTGGCCCTTCCTTTAAATTCTCCTCTCCGCTCGTCTTATACAAGAACTTTTCCATTAAGATGTTCCCTGGCCGAGGAAGATATTTTTTCTCAAAATACTCTGTCTGCAACAATTTCCGTTGGCCTTGAGATCGATTGTCCCCCGGACACGAAAAAAGAAGAAGAAGTCGGCTCAGATTTCCCAGGGACACAGAAGACGGCATTGGTAGGCCATGGACTAGCGGACGATGGACTCCGCTACAGCTGGGTGGACGCTGCTCTCCAGAGTGTCCTGAACCTGGGCGTCACACGGAGGTGTCTCGCTCAGGAAAGGGACTTTCTGGAGGCTTCGTCCATCCCCAGTTGGACGAGGCTCATCCTCTCTGCGGTCCATGACCCCGGCAAACATTTTAGTCCGGAGGACCTTTCCCCGGTGTTGATGGAGCTGAGGGAGAGGTGTCAGCCATCGGACCTGGGAAGGGACTTCGATATAAAATGTTTGTTGGAGTCATCCATGGTCTGGCTGGACGCTTTCGGCAGTGCCACAGATAGGGAGTTGTACAACAACAACTCTTGCTCTGTCTGTGGCACGATGTTTCTTGAGCTGCTAAACAACGGCTCCCTGCTCTCCCTACCACCGGTGAGATTTTCAGCCAGCATTGCAACGCTCTTGTACTACTGGCTGGATGTGCGGGGGAAACGCCGTTGTTCAGTGTGCGAGTCGGCCTTGGAGAGAAAGCACTGCCTTACGAACAATAAGGTCCTAGTGTTTTCCTCCACAGGCTGACCAGGAAACACCGGATAGTTTCCAGTCAGGTCGTGGATGTGCCGGCCAAATGCAAAGGTGGTACTGAAAGGTACCACCTGTCTTCCGTTGTTTGTGGGGAATCAGAGCCGACCCACTTCTACACTTATGTAGTGAAAGGGGGACAAAT